GCCCAGGAAAAAGGATAAAGTGTATTTTTTTTTTTTTTCAAAATAGCCATGCATATTGTCACACTATATAGAGTAAGCTGTCAAAATGGACCATTAAACTGCTTGTTACATGATTTAATCAAAATATAGGCAATAAAACTGATATGAAAAAGAAAACAATCCATAAAGCAAAAAATATGAAAGATAGCATACAAAAATATCACACTAGCCAGTGGAAATAATAAATGAATAAATGTATAAAAACATAACATCTAAAACACATATAATGACATACCTCATAGCTCAAAAGACTGGCTTAGTGTATCACTCTGTGGTTGTATTCTCATGTTTGTCCAGCAGCTATTAAAAAAAAAAAAAGATTATTTGACCTTTGCTGAAATATAGCCCTCACGACAACTTCCTAATTTGACATCTAGCTGTATAGGCTACCATATAAAGTGTTAAATCAATCATATAACCAGTATAAACAAGCCTAGACAGAAACCAATTTAAGCCTGTATGTAATATTTAAGTAAATATGATGGAATATTTGTATATTATTTATGTATCAACTAACAAGTGCACTTAAAGATTGTAAGCAGCATAACCTTCAGTGACACATCTTTAGATACAACCTGCTGTCTGTCTCTTGCTGACTTGGCCTGAGACCAGTGTTTACATTTCGTAGTTTCCGATAACATCTTAAGATGCACAGTGTGCCCAGTGTTGGCTCAACTGTGCTTTGGTTTATGTAAATGCACATTCCTGTTTTGGTCCAGTTCAATCTGTTGGGGCAGATGCTGAAGGCCACACCCCTCTGAGACGAATGCTGCTGCTGTTGATGCTGCTGTGGGAGGGGCTTGATTCTCAGGTGAGCTACAAATCAGCAGGACTCTGAGCTCAGAGCTGAGATCAGACATGGGGCCACACAGACAGATGATACTAACGCTGCTCGTCCTGGCGTTTGCGACCTACATCTGTGAAGCAGGTATGAGAAGCTTGTGCTGCTGACTTTTCCTTTTTCATTCATTCATTCATTCATTGATAATTAATTGACAGTTTAGTTTAGTTTTTTTGTTTCATTAATAATGGTAGTTTTACATGTATAATATTTTATACGATATTGTAATTTTATACATATATTAAGTATATCTATCCATGTAAATTACTGATAAAATATATGAATGTATATTATTTTATATGCATTATTTATATTAGATTGAATATTAATCTATTAAGCATACCATTTAATCTGTTGCTTTCAATAATTGTTATTAACAATGTTATTAAATTAAGTATGATTGATAGTACTGAGGAAAAGAAGACATACACAGTTAGCTTTTTAATTATCAGTAGAATAATCAGTGAAAAAGATTTTTCAGAATGCAACTAAACTCCATATGTCTATAGCCCCGCCCCAATATAGATTGAAGAAGGTTCCCTATGAGAAACTGATTACTTACTTACTTACTTTAGCACTTCTCCGGAAGTCTTCTGCAGTGGACTTTCTGAGGTCTGGGCGAGAGAGGCAGGCAGAAAGATGTCAACAAGGAGGCTGTAGCTCTGAAGACAGTGAGGCAGAAGAACTACTTGAGGCCAACTCAGATTACGTGAGTTGAGTACAAATGTGCAAAAGCCCACAGCAGCTATCTTGGAGAGTATTTAACATCACTTTGTATATAAGCCTTTTAAAAGTATAATAAAGGTGGTTTAGTGAAACAGTCTTGAGAGCTTGGACCCTCTGATATATAATGTAAGATCATTTTTGTTGAATATGGAACTGAAAAGCACCTCATGAAACTGCTGATCTATTTATTTATTTTTTTCAGGAGCAGGACAACTCAAATATGTTCTTTAATGGTGGATCACAAGTGGGGGTGCACATGGTGAGACTCCCAATCCACCATGCAAGACACAGTGAATTATGTTTATTTTTTATACCCAATTGGTAAATATACTTAAATCAAGATGTTCTTTTAAAAGAAGTTTTAAAATCTAAATTTATCAAACTATAAGGATGTTTAGATATTTTGGGAAACAAGATGAAATGCTTAATAAGAATATTATTGCTGTGTGCATGGTGTGTGATCTTTTACTGTAATATTCTAATATGCCCTTGACTATTTACTGTGACTGATATTATTTGCTATATGTAATCACTACAATTCCATCCGAATGGACAATGTTCCCTGGAAGAAAGACAGTACTGTATTTCCAGTGCTTGCTCACATGTCTCAATTACTAACATGTGAAGTGGAATGTAACACAATCCATCCATTGTGGGGCTTCTCTGAACTTCTTCCTTTTCTCTTTGCCCACCTCTCAGAGGCCTGACGGTGAGCCACAGGGAGAGGGCTCAGGTATGTAGCCCTGCGGCTCATGGCTTCAGGGCTGTGAGAGTCCACACAGTGGGGAAGACTGGGGGAAACTCAACTCTGCTGCATCACTGGATACAAGCACAGGTGCACAGAACATGGAATAATGTCAGATACTATCATAATATCATAGATTGTGTATAGAGAATAGAGTCCTGAAGTGTTTTGGATGCTGAATTTTGCGCATATATATATATATATATATATATATATATATATATAAAGTCACACTGAAAATTATTCAGTCTGAGATGGATAAGTTTCTCAAGTAATTCTAACATAGATGGTGATGCCAACGTTGGTGCTTTTTAAAGAATGCTGCTGCAAGCCTTTAACTGTTGTTTAACCTGTTATGACACTATAGTCATGGTGCTAAATTGACATTATTCATTTTAGAGAACAGTGTTTAGATACTACACAAATATAAAGAATGAACCTCAATGTACACAATATACCTTCACTATCAAAAGTTCAAAGGTACCTCAATGCTACCATGTTACATACAACTTATATTCAAATGCCAAAAGAGTCTCTGCTACATAACCACAAACTATATTTGAATTTCCTTTACAAAAAGGTTGCCATAAAAATGCAGTATGACATGAAAAATACTTTTTTTTTCACTACCATGAAGACAATGCAATGATATTCTTTGAAATGCCTTACTATACCATTTTAATGTCATGGCACATGAATATGATAATCATTCAGTACCATGATATATGTCAAGGTATTGCAATCTAATACACTCATGTTTAGGTCAGTGTTGTTGATAATGTCAAAACATATACAACACAACCTGTAGTATTAGTGATAATGGTTTTCTTACGGTGTAGAGAATAAAATCAATGCTGACTATTTTTACCAGAGTTCTTTTCTTAAATCTGCTTTCTGCTGATTTATTTTTTTCGTGCAGATGATATATGATGTCCTATTGTAATGAAAATAAAGATTAACTGCTTAGAAATATTCTCCTGCTTTCTATCCTCGTTTTAATATCTACAAAGGCTCAATACAAAAGTTAGCTGAAATGCTAACATGAGTAAACAGCTCATGTTTTTGCCTGAATATTTCATTCAAATAACTGCATCAAATGTATTATGTAGCAGTAATGTAAACTTTGATATAACTTTAATATTAACTTTTTTTTTGTTCTGCTGTCACCTGCTGGCTGTAATTCATATAGTACCACCGCAATACCATTGCAGTACCATGCTAATTGCTATTTTTGGTATTTTTATCTGCTCTATGTGACAAACATGAATGCTTTCTTCTCCTACATCAGCAGGAATGTTTAAGGATGTCGACAGGTAAAGCTTTTTGTTTAACACCTTAGAGAACCTCGGCACACCTGACACCACGTCCTGTGACTGTGTGTGTGGCGTCCCTGGCGGCAGGTTGCTAGGCGATGCCAGGCATGTAAACATGGTGAGGTGTCAGCTATACCGTGGGAGACAGAACCAAAAGGCAGGAGGGCAAGCCGGGGCCAAATGAATGAATTTCAGGAGGTAATGGAACACCCTGGAACCCCACAATAAAAGTGCAATACAAACTCTGCACAGAAATTTCTGTACGCTAACCTTCTGCCAAATTACACAAATGCTGAAATATGACATGCTAAAAGGGAAAATTTAGTATATAACAGATGTGGGTTGTTGTAGGTCTATGTGAAGAAACAGAAACAGAAAAAAACCTTTGTAAGAATAGTTTTATGATACAAAAACAATATTCCGACATTTTAAAGTTAATTGCGAAATAATAAATTATTAAATACAAAATAAAAATATTAATCCACCTGGATGCTATTTGTTCCAATAAATGGTCCATGAAGGTACAGCTTTCCAAGACATAGCTGTTGCCTTTCCAGAACATAAGCACACTACAATGTTTGACAGATGTTTGTAAATCCACCATGTTAGTTCTATGCTAGTCTGTTTTAAACCAACCACACTGTACCATTTTCCCTAATCTAGTTTATTGCTCTGATAAATATAATAAAACATATTTTACATGCAGTAAAATTTTTGACATCAAGAAAGTTTAGACATTTTTACACACATTTAAATTACAAAATCGCTAATTCGTTTTTTCCTTGTTCTAGTTTATTGCTCTTATAAATATATTAAAACATATTTTACATGCTGTAAAATTTTTGACAATAAGACATTTTAGATATTTTTAGATAAATTACACTAGTTCACAAATTACACTAGTTACACTGGCTCTATGCTAGTCTGTTTTAAACCTAGCACACTGTACCGTATAGTTTATTGCTCTTATAAATAATATTCCATATGTAGCAAAATGTTTGACATTTAAAAAGTTTGCAGGCATTTGTACACAAACTATTAAAAATTATAATAATACAGACAGACAGACAGAGACAGATAGACAGATAGACAGATAGATAGATAGATAGATAGATTAGTTAGGTTGGCATAATGGTGAAACACCTACAGGTGGCAGTAAAGCTCAGGATAAACACTAACACATAATTCCACATTCTAAGTCCACAAATACAATGAGTCATTTTCTAAATTAGATCTTTTTGCAATTGAAAACAAATGTGCTGACATTTTGTGCAGATCATTTGAGAAGATGTTGGGTCCTTCAGCCTGGAGTTAGACTGTGCCTTCAAACAGAAATAAAAGCATCACAGCAGTGTGTATATCTGCAGCTAGACCCAATAAATGAGCCGCGTGGCTGATCAAAGTCAGGGTATCTTGGTACAGCATGAATGTCTATTTTGTGCATTAGATCTGATCTTCAGGAATCTAAATCCCTTTGAAGCCTCTGCAGACTGGATTAGACATGAACAAATTATGGACTTTACCATCATGACACAAGAGTTAACAGTGGATTATCCAAAAAAACTTTATTTGCCCTTGGCTTTATGCATTTTTAGCACAAATAATTATTTCAAGTAAAATGTATTTTCATCCAAAGTCAGTCAAAACACTGAAGGTCATCTTGCAAAACACCTTTACTTCCTTTGCTTCCTACAGTTGCTGTGTCTCAAAATATAGTAATCAGCCTAGAAACACATCATAGGTCAATTAAAAAAAAATGTTTTGACCAGAATTTGTGGAAATATCACACGCATTCTTCATTCAGAAATTCTCCACTTTTTTTGTTTTGTTTTGTTTTTGTAAAGGAATAATGTTGGTACAGATTGGTACAGTCTAATAGAAGGAATGACATGTTTGAAATCTTTTTGAAAGTTAAAAACATCTACACCTCCTCACAGCATTCCTGCAAGCACAGACCTTAGTAAGTCCTAATGGGGTAATTTAGAAATGTGATTCCTCTGGGTTTGTGCTGTGCTGTAGAGTGATAAATGTTCTGCATGTCATTACATGTCCTGCATTAATGATTTGCTTGAGGGTACGCTTACCTGTCAGAAGTTTATTCTTAACCTTAAACCTCATGTAATGAGAAAATGGTTTATTATCCTTATTTCTGCAAGTAAGCAAAGGACTTAAATGTGTGTCAGGACATAGCTATTTCCATACATAAACAAAAATGGGATTTTATAAATTGCTCCAAAAATCATCTTTGGAGTTGGTCAAATCTTGATCTGCACACCAAAATGTGTACAAAAATACACTTAAAAATCAAAATTGCATTTGTTAAAAAAAAAAGAATGCTTTTTTAATCTATTTTATTAACAATGTATAAAACTGATTATAAAATGTTATAATGCTGTAAATACTTTTTAAGACAATGATTTTTCAGTTGTATGGTATGGATATGTTTGCAACTGATCTCACTAAACTACATCAGGCTCATGTGATGAATATACATAAGATCTTTTATATTGTGGATGTGCTTCTCATAGCTATTTTTAGAGGTCAACCAATATCTAATTTAACTGACAGCAATACCGACACCAATACTTAGAAAACAGATTATGTATTATGTAACACAAGTTTTAAACACAGTTTATTA